TATATATTATATATTATATATATATATTATATATATATATATATATATATTTGTATGTCTGGATTTCTACGCAGGTGTATGTTCATGCATATAAATTTTTTGTACACCAGTTGAGTACATATTACTATAGATAGACAGATGGCTAGAAGATATATATATATATATGTATATATATATATATATATAATTATATTATGTATATCTTTATATACATTATACATAAATTATATGTATATCTATCTACCTACCTATATATGCATATATATATATATACAGTTAGAAATGCATATAGATTTATACTGTACACGTAACGCATGCACAGTACATAGCTGGCTAGCTAGCTAGGTAGCTAGCCAGCTAGCTACCTAGATCCTCAGCTACCTAACTAGCTAGCTACTCAGACAGCTAGCTAGCTAGCTACTCAGCTAGCTATCTAGCTAGCTAGCTAGCTACTCATCTAGAGCGTCTACAGGCATTGCAGATGGAGACAAGAGGTTACTAAAGAAGAGTCCCTTCTGCAGCTTCAGCTAGCTGCTGCAGCAGCTGCTGCTGTTGCTGCAGCGGATGCTGCAGCTGTTGCTGTTACTGCAGCAGCTGCCACTGTTAATGCAGCATCTGTTGCTGCTGTAGCACCTGCTGCAGCACCTGCTGCAACGGATGTTGCTGTTGCTGCAGCAGATGCAGATGCTGCTGCTTAAAGCAGCAATCATGTTGCAGTCTGAGGTGTACATGCAGCTGGTTGAGAATAATAATAATACTCTAAATAAATTAACACGAAACTATAAACCCCGTGCAGAGCAAACAGAAGAAAACAAACCAAACCTGCGCCGCAGCAACAGCAGCAGCTGCTGCTGCTGTTGCTGCTGCTGCTGGTTCTGGTGCTGCTGTTGCCTATCCGCTTGCCTGCTGTTCTGTTGCATGCGCCTACCCAGCCAACCGCACAGCTAGCTACCTAGCTAGCTGTCCAGCTAGCTACATAGCTAGACAGCTAGCTAGCTGTCTAACTAACCGCTTAGCTAGCTATATCGATAGACAGATGCCTAGCTAGCTAGCTAGCTTGCTGGATAGCTGCCTAGCTAGCTAGCTACGTAGCTAGCCAGAGAGACGAAATGCCGCTTGGCACCCCACGAGAGAACCGAACGCCCTGGCGCAGCAGCAGCAGCTGCTGCTGCTGCTGCAAGCTGCTAGCTGCTGCTGCTCCGCAGCAGCTGCATCGACAGCTAGCTCACGGTTAGCTGCAGCAGCTAGACACCCGTTTTGAAGTTAGTGCTGTCGGCCGCTGCTGCTTACTGGCTTCCTGCTGCTGCTGCTGCTGTGTTTGCTGCTGCTGCTGCTGCTGCTATGTTTGCTGCTGCTGCTGCTATGCTTGCTGCTGCTGCTGCTGCTACTGCTGCTGCTGCTTGATTCGCGGGGCTTCTTCGAGCTGCTACCGCCCTCTTCTGAGGCTGTGCGCTTCCTGCTGCTGCTGTCGCCAGACTTGCTGCTGCTGCTTGGCTTGCTGCTGCTGCTACTTGGCTTGCTGCTGCTGCTGGCTGGTTTGCTGCTGCTGCTGCTGCTAGACTTGCCACTACTGCTACTCCCAGATTTGCTGCTGCTGCTGCTGCTGCTGCTGCTGCTGCTGCTCGGTTTGGTGGAGCTGCTGCTACTGCTGGGTTTGCTGCTGCTGCTGCTGCTGCTGCTACTCGGTTTGGCGCTGCCGCTGCTGCTGCTCGGCTTGGCACTGCTGCTGCTGCCACTGCTGCTGCTGCCACTGCTGCTGCTGCTTGGCTTGCTGCTGCTGCTGCTGCTGCTTGGCTTGCTGCTGCTGCTGCTACTTGGCTTGCTGCCACTGCTGCTACTTGGCTTGCTGCTGCTGCTGCTGCTGCTTGGCTTGCTGCTGCTGCTGCTGCTGCTGCTTGGCTTGCTGCTGCTGCTGCTACTGGGTTTGCTTGTGCCGCTGCTGCTGCTCTGCTTGCTGCTGCTGCTGCTGCTGTTGCTAGTTTTTGTGGTGTTGCTGCTGCTGCTCGGCTTGGTGCTGCTGCTGCTGCTGCTGCTGCTGCTGCTTGGCTTGCTGCTGCTGCTGCTGCTGCTGCTGCTGCTGCTAACTGGGGGTTTCTCTGGGTTCGTCTGGCCGTTCCTCATGTTTGCTGCTTCTGCTACTGAAAGAAGCTTGCTGCTGCTGCTGCTGCTGCTGCTGGTTGCTTGCGGCTCTACCTTGTCTACGTGGCTGCTGCTGCTGCGTCTTTCACTATCCCTGCTGATGCTCCTGCTGCTGCTCCTGGTCCTGCTGCTTCTTCTGCTGCTCCTGCTGGTGCTTCTGCTTGTGCTTCTGCTGCTCCTGCTGCTGCTTCTGCTGCTTCTGCTGCTTCTGCTGCTGCTTCTGCTGGTGCTTCTGGAGCTTTGTCTATCACTGCCGCTGCTGCTCCTGCTGCTGCTTCTGCTGCTTCTGCTGCTGCTCCTGCTGCTGCTTCTGCTGCGGCTTTTGCTGCGGCTTCTGCTGGGGCTAGGGTTTTTGGGTTTGCGGCGAGCAACAGCAGCAGCAATAGCAGCAGCAGCAGGACATGCTTCTCTCGTGATGCTGGGGCTTCTTCTATCTGTTCCGCGCTCTGTTTGCTGCTGCTGCTGCTGCCGCTGCTTCAGCAAGAAGTCTGGAATAGGCTGCTGCTGCTTCTGCTTGAGTAGCTGCTGCCTGAGCTGCTCCTGCAGCTTTTGCTGCTCTTCTTTCTCCGCGTCTTTCTTCTGCTGCTGCTGCTGCTGCTGCTGCTGCTTCTGCTGCTGATGAAGCCCAAACAAATCTTGCTGCGTCTTCTGTGCTGCAGCAAAGACGCTGCCTATATCAAATGCATCTCCTTCCTGTGCTTGGAGCTGTTTAAACACTTGCTCTTGTTCTTGCATGCTGCACATACACCCCAAACCCTAAACCCTAAACCCTAAACCCTAACAAAACCCCAAACCCTAAACCCTAAATCCTACAGAAACCAACCAGCCGCAACACACCGAAGACAAACAACCCGAAAAAAAACACTCTTCACCTTCCCAAAATCCTAAAAAACCCTAAACCCTAAACCCTAAACCCTAAACCCTAAACCCTACTTGATGAGAATTCTAGACAAGGCGGCGAGCAACAGCAGCAGCAATAGCAGCAGCAGCAGGACATGCTTCTCTCGTGATGCTGGGGCTTCTTCTATCTGTTCCGCGCTCTGTTTGCTGCTGCTGCTGCTGCCGCTGCTTCAGCAAGAAGTCTGGAATAGGCTGCTGCTGCTTCTGCTTGAGTAGCTGCTGCCTGAGCTGCTCCTGCAGCTTTTGCTGCTCTTCTTTCTCCGCGTCTTTCTTCTGCTGCTGCTGCTGCTGCTGCTGCTGCTTCTGCTGCTGATGAAGCCCAAACAAATCTTGCTGCGTCTTCTGTGCTGCAGCAAAGACGCTGCCTATATCAAATGCATCTCCTTCCTGTGCTTGGAGCTGTTTAAACACTTGCTCTTGTTCTTGCATGCTGCACATACACCCCAAACCCTAAACCCTAAACCCTTAAACCCTAAACCCTAACAAAACCCCAAACCCTAAACCCTAAATCCTACAGAAACCAACCGACCGCAACACACCGAAGACAAACAAATCGAAATAAAACACTCTTCATCTTCCCGAAACCCTAAAAAAACCCTAACCCTAAACCCTAAACCCTAAACCCTAAACCCTAAACCCTACTTGATGAGAATTCTAGACAAGTCCTGATCAGGCATCGGGGCTTGAGCAATATACTCTAAATTCTTTTTGAGAGCATCACGCAGTTTTTGGAAACCCAAATGCACGCGGCCAGAGAAATGTTCATCGAGACGGCGGTCCGTGTCGTTCGCTGAACCACAAACCCTAAACCCTAAACCCTAAACCCTAAACCCTAGAGAACCCTTCTAACCCCAAAACCCTCGAAAAACCCTCATTATCAACCCTAAACCCTATCCCCTAGACCCTCCTGACTGCTCTACCCTCCCTTCCAAACCCTAAACCCTCCAAAACCGTAAACCGTTGTAAATCCTGCTAAACCCTAAACCCTAAACCCTAAACCCTCGACTGACCTGAGAGTAGGGCTCCGCAAACATCACAGGGTCTGAGTCTCTGAGTAAGCTGTCCCTCAGCATTTCTAAATAAAAGTTTTGCTCTTCTCGTTTGCAACGAAGTTAACTCCAAAGAGACAGCCATAGATTGATCAATACGCCCTAGCTTCCCTAGATCTTCCATCTGTTCAAACACAAACCCTAAACCCTAAACCCTAAACCCTAAACCCTAAACCCTAATTCGTATTGTAGGCTACATTTAGATTGTCTTGAGCTTTAGAGGGAGGGCTCCTACGTTCTTGAGGTTTATGAGGGTTTGTATGCAGAGGGTTTAGGGTTTATCAGGGTTTGTAAGTTTCTTTAAAAGGGTTTATGAAAGT